CTTTTGATCGGCGAAAACTTGATCCACCAGCCTTTGATAGGTTGCCCCCGCATTTTTCAATCCGAAGGGCATCATTTTGTAATTGTACACCCCAGCGTTCGTGACGAATGCTGTCTTTGCTCGATCGTCGGGGTGCATAAAGATCTGATGATACCCCGAGAATGCGTCCATGAAACTAAGCAAGGCATGGCCACTTGTCGAATCGACTAGCTGATCGATCCTCGGCAAGGGATAGAAATCCTTTGGACAAGCCTTATTTAGGTCCGTGAAGTCAACGCACATCCTCCAGGTACCATTGGGCTTCTGAACCATCACCACATTTGCCAGCCATTCTGGATATTGGCAAGGTTCGATGAATCCTGCCTCCAATAATTTTTTGACCTCGGCTGCGATGTCTCGGTTCTTATTGGCGGAGTAATTCCGCTTCTTTTGCTTAACTGGTCGACACGTCGGGTCAACATTAAGCTTATGGGAGATGAGGTCTGAACTTATCCCGGGCATATCAGCTGCCGAGAAAGCAAACACATCTCTGTTGTCCCGAAGGAGCTGAATAAGTTCACAACGGGTGTTCGGATCAAGGTCCATCCCGATTGCTACACATTTCTCACCGTCTCCTTCGGCCAACTCAACTGTTTCAGTCTGTTGGTCCATGTCCATTGCCGATGGACTGGACTCTTCAGAATCTGGCCTGCTGCCAATGTCAGCAGGTGTCCCCGTCTTTTTGTTCTTCGGCTGGCTCTCTGAGTCTTGCGGCTCAGCTGAAGAGCTAGCCTTTTCCCTTTCGGGCCCTTTTTCTCTGGGCACAGATCCTTGGGCCGAAGCACTTAGGCCTTTTGGATTTTTTGTGCTTGGCTCTCTTTCTTTTTCTTTCTCCTCCTCATCCTTGTCGTCATCTGGGCGACTACTGGATGGCTTGAGGTAGTTGCACCTTCGGGCGTCCTTTTGGTTGCCCTGTATCCTTTTGGGGAAGCCGGCGTCTGAGACGTAAATCATTAGCTGATGATAAGTTGAGACGACCCCTTGGATCTCGTGAATTATGGGTCTCCCCAAAATCACGTTGTACACTGAAGGAGCGTCGATGACCAAAAATTCAATCATGACGTTCCGGGCTGCCTCATCGCAACCGATGGTGACAGGAAGTGTCACCTTCCCATCTGGATAAGTTGAAGCCCCATTGAACCCGGATACCGGGTAGGGTACCGGCGTAAGGTGCTTGGGCTTCAGCTTAATTTGATTATAGGCCTTTCGGAACAGAATGTTTGCTCCACTGCCACCGTCAACAAGGACCTTACTGACGTCGTGGTTGGCTACCGTGGCGATGATCACCAACGGATCCTCGTGAGGGAACGTAATCCTCCGGCAGTCGGCGGCTGTGAACGTCATGTTCGGCACCGGCGACTGGGGAGATTGAATGTCAGCGTTGTTCACCTGGTGAGTCAAAGCTCTAAGGTGGCGCTTGTGCTCCCTCCGAGAGTATATTCCTCCCGAGATAACATTGATCGGAGGGAATTTCCCCTCCGGCTTTTTACTGTTTTTCCGAGGGAAGTCGAGGTCCTGCCGAGGGTCCTTTGCTGACCTCTCGGATTCTTTTTTCTCGCGGTGATCCGCGATGTATTTTTTCAAGTATCCCTTCCGGACCATGTCCTCTATCTGGTCCTTCAGTTGGATACACTCCTCAGTGTTGTGTCCCGAAGACTCGTGGAACTCACACCACTGATTTTTATTTTTTCGCTGATACCACTCTGGGAGTGGTCTCGGCTTTCGGTAACTCTGCTCCTCCTTCGTCACGCTGTAAATTTTGGCGCGTGGAAGAGAGAGCGGAGTGTAGGACTCGTATCTGCCTGTGTATGAGGCAGATCTTTCCTTCTTTGGGTCGATGGCCAAAGATTGCTCCGGGGCCTTTGACTTTCTCTTTGCCTTATGGCCTTGGCCTTCAGACAAGGGTATTTGTCTCTGTTTCCCTCCCCCGAATTGAGGTTGGGTTTTCGCTTTGTTCCATTCTTCGGCTCGGATGAACTTATCCGAAGCATTAAGAGCTTCCTCCAAGGTCTGCGGGGTATGCATGACCATGAAGTCTAGGAACTTTCCGGGCTGAAGGCCATTCTGCATTGCGAAAACGGCTAGCCCCTGGTCCAGCTGGGAGACGCTTGATGACTCGTTACTGAAACGGGTCAGGTAGTCTCGGAGGCTTTCGGTTTCCCCCTGTTGCAGACTCATGAGCTCTGCGGTAGTCTTCTCTCGGCGGTTTGTCGTGGAAAACTTGCTCCTGAACTTGGAGGACAGATCATCCCACCCTGTTACGGAGCCTTGCCTTACTCCCTTGGAGATCCACGCTTGCGCGACCCCCTTGAGAGTGGTTGGGAAATATTTGCACCAAGTCGCCTCGGATCTGGGGCAAAGATGCATATGAGTCTCATACGAGGCCACGTGATCCTTCGGATCCGTGGTCCCGTCATATGTGATGTGCGACAGTATTTTAACCGTGGGTACGCGCTCTTCCAGTATCCATTGCTCGAATGGTGAACTGGCGGGTAGCATAACGGCCTTGCCCTTGTTCCTGGCCGAAGGGACCGCGCTCCGCCCTCTTAGAGAGGTAGGAGTGGTTTTCGTCCCTGGCTGGGAAGTCTGGGCCTCGGCTGCAGGGAACGAGAGGCGACTGCGCACGCTCGGTTCCTTGCCGCCGAGTCGGTCAAGGACGCTTCTGCGAACAGTCTCAGGTTCTCGGTGAGTAGATTCTGGCCGAGAAGCTGAGCTGCTGCTCTTATGCGCTTCTGGTCTTGAGGATGAGGATCCTTTTAAAAATTGAGGGTTCTTTTTCCTCTGTTTTTCATTTTTCCAGGAATCCTCCTCCCACTCTTCCAGTTCCCGGAAGGAAGGAAGCTTCCCACCATCATGGTCTAACTTCCTCCGCTGATGCCGGGTATGCGGAGGAGTTCGATCACGAGGTGGTGGCATATTTTGTGCCCTCATCGCCTCCATGAGTACTGCCAGCGCTCTTGCCACCTCTTCCGAGCTGGGCCCCGTCAAAGGGGTCCTCGGCCGAGTGTGGGAATGAGGGCGCGCAGCCGATGGTTGGCTTTGGGACACTGAATGTGTCCTATGATCGGACTCACCCCTGCTAGACCGAGAGTGACCCGGCCTATAATGAGAGTCATGAATTATGGGAGATAGGGAATCCTCCTTGTATGATCCTCCCCCCGAGCCGGCACCCTTGGGAGAGTTCCGGTCCGGCGAGGGTGATGGTGTAGGGGTTTTAGGCTTTTCGCCCGCTCCTTGACGGAGGTTTTTGCTCTTGCGGTTCTTAGCCATTGCTGTTAAGATAATTGCAAGATGATCTTGGTTAGGAATTTGGCTTCAAGATTTTTGAAAGTCTTCCCCACAGACGGCGCCAAATTGTTTCGGGTGAAAACAATGGGACCTTGTCGAAGGTCCGCTGAAATGGAGAAGGCTGGATTCGGTCCAAGTTATGTTGGGCCGAAGGTTTCCTGCACAGTAAACACACGTAAACTAGCCTCGGGGGTGTTGCCGAGGAAGGCCCCTCCGATGCTAAAGTCAGTACAATGTGTAAGAAGAGGACACTATGCAAGAGAGTTTGTTGCTTGAGGCTTTTATGGAATATATCCCAATATATGAATGAACATATGAATCTATATATGAATTAATTATGATTGTATCAATATTGATGGCTTTTATACCTCATCATACATGGAGAGGTTGGGCCTTAGCCCAATTGGCTTGCTTTGTGGGCTGACCTTTGACTTTAGCACAATTGGAGAGTTGAACCTTGACCTTGGGCTTTTAATTGGATCATTTAGTGCTTAGGCCCAATTGGACTAAATTGGACCCAAACAAAAAGTAATCACAAAATCAACAAAACACGTCAGATCGTGGCTTACCAGCACATGCCGGTGTCACCGAAATGCTTACTGTCGTCATGTTGGAGATTCCGGGTACCGGTGTTGGTGTCGTCCTGGTTTCACCGGTGATGGATTCATTGACGGAGAGGGTTGTCATAAGACTCGTTACGGTTAGTGCCTGTTTTTTCATAGTTTAATTAAATGCGTATTTCTCATGCAAATGTGTTTAAGGTCAATGTTCATTAGTGTACGTGACCTTGGTCAACGGTGCACTATGCTGAATTCCCTTAATTTTCATGGGTTTTGGTAACAATTACTCCCTTATATCATCAATTTAGAACTTGTTCTTTTCGTATCATTTCAAAAGCTTGTTCTTTATTCTTGTCCAAATCAAATCAAATACGTAGTATAATAAGTTCAAACCATATTAAAAATTTTAATTCTCAATTATATATTTGTTAAATATCTTTAATTGCATTCCAACTTATTCCAAACTAATATGATATTCAAAAGTTTGACTACTACACTGGCATATTTACGGGAAATTCTCTTTTTCTCATATTGAGAAACGTGGGGCATTTTCGTGAATAAATCAGCAACTTTTGGACTCCACAATTGAATAAAGTTGTTGATTTATTTACGAAAATGCTATATGAGAAACACCATGAGAAAATGGGAGATCCTCCATATTTAAGTCGTAATTAGGAGCAATGCTCCAATCTTTCAAGTCTAATCTAATTTGTTGTGACTATTGTCTATTGCAAAACTATCCATCTAATTTTGACTTTTATAAATTAGAGAATATGCTAAATGAATGAAAGCTTTTGCCAAATTAATAATTATATGCATTTACAGATTTTGGAAATAACGAGATTGATAGAAGGTATCCTAATCAGTTTCGTAGCCTTCATTTGTCAAGTACCCAAAGCAGCCAATCTAAGAGCCAGGTTGGACTGCCGTTTCTTGTGATCTTGATTATTACTTCCCTTATCGGGGTATTGCTTTTGGCAGCTATGATATGGTTGTTACTATACTTCGTATTTCATAGTCGGAGGAAGCACAATGAGCAATCTCAAGTATCATCTGTGAACATAAACTCGCCCTTCTTAAAGGTATCTTACAACATGCTTTTGAAAGCAACGAATGGGTGTTGGCCATTTTGGTTCCGTTTCCAAAGGAGTCCTTGATCTAGACAAAAACACGGTTGTCGCTGTTAAAATCATAAGCCTCGATCTGAAAGGAGCAACCAAGAGCTTCATGGCAGAGTGTGACGTATTAAGATATACTCGTCACAGGAACCTCCTCAAGGTTATTACTGCTTGCTCGAGTACTGACTTTCATGGCAATGATTTTAAGGCTTTAGTTTATGAGTTCATGTCAAACGGAAATCTTCAACAGTGGACTTACAATGATCAGCATGCTGAACGGGCGTTAAATCTTCTTCAAAGAGTAAACATTGCGATTGATACAGCATGTGCATTGGATTATTTGCACGACAATTGTAATTGTAACATTTCAATAGTTCATTGCGACCTAAAACCAGCCAACATTTTGCTCGACAATAACATGGTTGCTCATGTTGGCGACTTTGGGTTAGCAGGATTTCATTTACTGTCAAGTTCATGTATCAATAATAGTTCAGTTGCAATCAAAGGAACTATTGGTTATACTCCTCCTGGTAACTATTTTTTTTTTTTTTGAATAGCTCCTGGTAACTACTTGACTTATTTATTTACTACCTCTAATCTGTTTCTTAATTAATGCATGTATCATTGCAATTAAATTTTTTATCTCACACATAATACTCTTTTGTCGTAACTTAAAAGAAACGGAGGTATATCATAAATTAAAAAATAAATAAATAAAAATAAGGTACTTAATAGTAAGAATTTTTTTTTTTTTCCACAAATAGATGGATGTATCTCATCTCTATTTTTTTTTTTTTTTTTTTTTTTTTTGGACAGAGTACGGCCTGGGAAGCAGAGTGTCTAAGGAAGGTGACATTTATAGTTACGGCATTGTGTTGATAGAAATGATGGTTGCAAAACCTCCCACTGCTGGTATGTTTAAAGAAGGTTTAGACCTTCATAAATATGTAAAGAAAGCATTGTTTAAGAACCAATTGTCCAAGGTAATCGACCCAAGGCTTCTAGATGATTGTAATGGTGCAAGAAATGGGGTTCAAGATGAAAATTCAGCAGCTAATGTCTGTAAAATGAAGTGCATAAAATCACTAATTAAGGTAGGACTAAAATGTTCAGTGGATTCACCACAAAATCGAATTAAAATCAAAGATGCCATCAATGACCTACAAGATACAAAGGATACTTTTCTTAAAGAGTTGTGCATCATAAATAGATATATGTAATAGAAAATTGGAAATTTGTTAGAAAATACTGCATGCGGTACCTAAGTGCTTGAGGACAATTATTTTAATTGTACACTACGTATATAGGTATGTGGGTTTTATAAGGGCAAATACAACTTGCCAGATAAACAAATTTTTGTTAATCTAGTGGCATTTCTATAAATATATTGAAAAAGCGTGGTTATTTATTCAGTACTTTTATTGAGTTGTTCAATTACTGTTTGGGAAGGAAATTACACATATACCCCTCAACTAATACATGAAAAGGCGCATGTACCCCTCCACTAGTACTTGAAATGACAATTATACCCCATTTTGTTTATCTGGGGAATTAACTAGGTACGTACAACTCGTTGTATAAATATATATTCATTCACTTTCAAGATTGTACAATATCATATACTTATATAAAATACTCCGTATACATAAAGACAAATGTAATACTTAGTTCACCTTATTTTTGCTTATTTGGAATTATTTGATCTAGTCTCATCTGACATGATATGATCTGGTCTGATGTGATTTGATCTGATTATCTGTTTTGACAAAACTTTGACCTTAAGTGTACAACGATCTATAATGAAAAATATATCAAGCGGGTCTTAGATTCATAATAATGTGCATTTAGTTAATATGTAATTTTACTAATTTTTTTCATTACAAAATAAAAAATGTTTAGCAATAAAAAACTGCATCTAAAACGAAGATAACTGAACTTATTTTTTTTTTCTGATCTAATCTAAACTTATTTTTTCTAAGATAAATAAAAAATAAGTTAAACTAAATTTCTTTTTTTTTAAAAAAAAAAAAAGGAGTCAAGTTAAATTACCCGTTAATCAATCCTAATGAGTCTATTTATAATCGGACTAATCACTTAAAGAAGACAAGATTAGCTAAATAAATTGTAGAAAAGTTTTTGCTTAATGCACTACTATTCAAACATTTCAAAGGAAAAAAAAATGTTACTTAATTATGGGTGATTTTATTCTCTTATTAACCAATATCATACTGGACGTACTCTATGATCGCAAATTTCTAGCTAGGGTCGCGGTCAGTTAATGAACATTTACTAGAAAAAAAATTAACATTTACTAAAAAAAAATGACATTTACAAAAAGAAGAAAAAAAAACTTTTATTTCTGAACATTGCAATATATCAAAACGAACATTTATAAAATAAGAGTAAAATAAATATATTATGAAATTGAAAAAAAGGATTATATATATATATAATCCTTTTTTTCAATTTCATAATATCTTTATTTTACTCTTATATATATATATATATATATATATATATATATATATATATATATATATATATATATATAATCCTTTTTTCAATTTCATAATATCTTTATTTTACTCTTATTTTATAAATGTTCGTTTTGATATATTGCAATGTTCAGAAATATATATACTAAGAAAAACATTTAATATTATATAATTGAACATTTCATTTATAAATAAAAATGAACATGTAATGTTATTGCTTATTTATCAACATTTTTTTAAGTTTCGAGTGAAATACCTTTATGTGTTTAATTTTCTTACATGGTTATCTAGCAATTTTATGATTTAGTCCAATTAAATAAATTTAAAATATGTTTTTTTTTTAATAATGAACAAAATGCTAATGTCTAACATTATTAATGCTAATGTAAATTGAAGTATTGCACACTTGTTTTATAAGAATGAATATCATATAGCATAAAAATGAACATTGATTTTATAAGAATGAACATCATAATATATAAAAATGAATATTTTGTTATTGAGAAATACAAAATTATTATAAAACTGTTCAGTTAAAAAAAATGATTATTTTTATTATAATAAATGTTCATTTTGACGGCGACCTCATAAATACATAGTTGGGCTTGACCTCAGCCATTAACAAACGCTCTATGGTGTCAAGATGGGCAGAAGGCAATTAGTCTAAGGTGCACCCTTGTGCACCTTAGATAGGTGTAACAATGCAGCCCAAAAGCCTAATTACACACAACCCAATTAAAAAAAAAGCCCTAAAACTAAAAAACACGGAAACAACAATACAACCACTCATATCCAATACACCCACCCTCACCCAATAAATGTAACGTCACCTCCAAACTCAATACTTTTTTCTTCTATATGATTTTCTCTCTCCTCTTTTTCACTTTCTCTCTCCTCTATTTCGTTTCCTCACTAAAAAAACTGCAAAAATATTAATGGACATTAGAGAAGAGATGCAAAATCAAAAGGATCCTCCCTAAAAAAAGCAATTTTATGTAAATTTCACTTAATTTTGTTTAAATTTATATGATTATCACTTAATTTTGTTTGAATATTTATTCGATACTCTCGATTGTTCGAAATTTTTATTGGAATTGTCCAAAAAAAATTAGTGAAATCAAACGGATACCTTATGTTCACATTGCGAAATGTATATGTTCATATTTTAAATTCTTATGTTCATGTTTTGGATCCTTTTGTAAACTTTCTGAAATGCTTATATTCACTTTCTTAATTCATATGTTCATATTTTTTATGTATATGTTCACCTTCTAAAATGCTTAATTATGTTCATACGCATTCAAAAATGAACCAATGCACATGTTCATATTTTGAATGCATATGTTCATATTTTGAATGCATATATTCATATTTTTAATACTTATGATGCATATGTTTCATAATCATATTATTTTTTATTTCTTCAAGTTTTTTTGTTCACAATTAAATGCCTTATATTCATTTATATTCATAATAATATTTATATATTCATAATGTATATATTCATAGTAAATATTTGTTGTTCATAAATATTCTCATTAAGTCTGTTTATGCATATGTTCTCTTTCTTAAATGCATATGTTCATATTTTTTTACGCATATGTTCACATTTTAAATGGTTATATTCACTTTAAGAAAAACCAATGCTTACGTTTATATTTTGAATTGTTATGTTTACTTTCTGAAATGCATATGTTCATATGTTTTATGCCTATGTTCACCTTCTGAAAAGCTAATGTTCACATTTAAGGGAACCTATGCATATGTTCATATTTTGCATGATTATGTTCATTGATAAAAAAAAAATGCTAGAAAATCGGATGAAATTCATACACAGATGAAATTGATCGAAGCTAAAAGAAATTCAATTCATATGAATTCAAAAAATCAGATAAACAACTAGTTCCATATTGTAAGGAACAAATTCAATCGTTAAATCGAAAAAACGAGAAAGATAGAAAAAAAAATAGAGGAAAAAGGAATTAAAGAAGGAAGGAGAAAAAACCGAGTATAATTTGTGAATTCAAAGATTCATATAAACCTTAATCAATCGAAATTAAAGCACAAAATCGAAATTCACACAAAAATTCATACTTAATAACTACTTTCATGTTATAAGAAACAAATTTAATCAAAAAAGTGTAAAAAAGGGGGAAAATTAAAAAACAGAGGAGAGAGAAAATAAAAAATGAAGGAGAAAAATAGGGGAGAAGAAAGTTAATGTTCATATTTGTGCTATTGTTACACCTATTCTTAGGAATATGCGGGCAGAAGGTCCATTGATAAATATTTCGAATGGTCTGAATGGGCCTTTTTTGGGGGGAGGCTTTAATGGGCCTGTTACACTCTCCGTGATTGATTATCTAGTGATCCAAATAATTAAAAGCTGGAATTTTTGGTTATTTAATGGGCCACAATGGCCCTATTTGTACAAATAGATGTTAGTTGTTTGATTAGCTGATTGTATCCGTGTAAAAGTCTTGGGTTGTGTTAGGTTTGTTTATGGTATAAATAAACTTCAAAAATTTATAAGACTCTTGCATTTATCTTGTGACTTTTATTAACATAATACTATGTAGCCCAATCATCTCGCATCATACAAGATAAATAAATCACTAATATGTAGGTTAACAATGTCACTTTGAGTTGAAAAAAAAAAGTATGCTAGTTCATAAGTTACTCCACACACACGAACACATATTCCGAACTACATACTCTATCCATCTTTTAATATTTCACCTATTGTAATTCTTAGTATGTTTATTTAATTTTGTCTTATACTACTTACGGAGCAATTATACTCTCACATATTTGGTTATACCACTTTTCTGGGCTATTCACCCTAAAAGTTATTAATTCTATCATACTGTCACACACCCGGAGTCTCATACAAATTTGCAGTATTAAATGTGTAGCAACTAAAAATACAGAGTATTTATTTAGTCTACCATTACCATATCTTACACAATCTTTAGGTTCATTATGGTAAAGAACACAATTTAAAAGGCCTTGTCCTACTACCTCAAAAGTCAAAACCCAACTTGAGGTATTTTTGTAGGTTCATTATTAGACATTTTAAATTTTCAAATATGGTAAATGTGGTGACAAAGTCGAGGCTCAGCACAAACACTAAGAGAAACCTTTTTAGGAGTTGAGAGACCATAAACCTCATCCATATCCAAATCCTGAGGCTTCATGTTATTAGGCAATTTCCATGCAAAACCATGAAGAAGATTAGCCAAACTTGTCTCAATAATTTTAAGGCCAAGATTATACCCTGGGCACATCCTTCTTCCCGACCCAAAAGGCAACAACTCAAAATCTTGACCTTTAACATCTATATTCTTTCCAATAAAACAAAAATTCATCTGGTCTTTCATACAACTTAGGGTCTCTTTGTATGGTGAAAGTATTTACAAGCACAACGGACCCCTTAGGGATATCATAGCCTTTAATTTTAACTTGCTCCCTTGCTAGGTGAGGTGCTAGGAAAGGTGTTACCGGGTGCAATCTCAATGTTTCCTTTACTATTGCACAAACATAAGGCAAATTTTGTATATCTTTCTCTTGAACCCATCTTTCCTTTCCTATCACGTGGTCCATCTCTTCTCTAGCCTTGGCAATGATGTCCGGCCTTCTTATGAGTTCGGAAATTGCCCACTCAACTGTTGTTGTCCCACTCTCTGTACCTCCGGCTAGTAAGTCCTGAAATTCAATTTTATGTA